GTAGATACCAGAAAATGACTGGAGCCAACACTAGGGAGTGGATTTGGGTGGTACAGTTGCATATAAAAACCCAGAAAGAATGAACAGAGAAAATACGGGGAATTTCATCTTTCTTACTCTTCCAAAGTTTTGGGGATAAAGTCTCTAATAAAGCACCACAATTTTTTTCTCCATTAGGAACAAAGGTAAAATCAAAATACAAAGTAAACCTTCTTTCACAGTTATTTGGTGTTCCATGTTTTATACTGTGAAGAAGTACAAAAATATCCACAGAAATGCACCTGGGAGTGATGGAAAGGCTACAAAATAGATTTTTGGAGAATGTGATCTCTGTCTCCACTGAGACTTGAACAGGAAAAATCATAATCATGAATAATTGTGAGAAGAGCATTTGAGAACAAATATATAACAGACAGCCTAAGAGCCACCAAATGATATACTAAGAGAAACAGTGGGATTTTCTTCAGTGGAGAGTATTAAGAAAAGAGTCTTATCGCCTTCCAATTATGGTTTCCTATCTGTTCTCCCCAAAGACACATGTACTTGAAACCCCTCCTGGCCCCATAAGAGCAGGTTCTATGGTCCTGATGAGATTGTGTGCATTAGAATCACTTCTCCTGGAAAGGAGATGCTAAAGGGTACTCGAATAAAATATTAAAATTATGAAGGGCATAACAAAGGCCAATCAGTCCTTTCTTTTCCCCAGATCCCATAATATGAGAACAAGGGTTATTTGATGAAATTAAAGAGTAGCAAATTAAGTGCTAATAAAATGAGAAAGTCACTTATAATTCATTACCATGGGAGGTCACAGAGGCAAATTCTGTGGTTAGATTAAATATGGGGCTGGATAATTTTATGACCACTAATGATATTTTTAGCAGTGGAGGCTGATATTGGGAGACAAGTAATCGTATTATATTCTCCAGTAGATGGTTTGCAGGGACCTCTGGCAAAGTGGTACCTGAGAAGCGTGAGAGTAGGCCTCATGGGTTCTCACCCTTGGTGGGGAATTGCAGTAAATATGAGTTGTTAAGGTGGCTGTGTTCAGGAATATCTTCAGTCCCAACTCCTCTTGTGGAGAACCAAAAGTCCTTTCTAACCAGAAGCAGTTGGGGCACAAAGTCTCCTTATGCAAGATGAGGAAGTTGAGGAGATCTATTGTACAGTAATGTGACTCGAGTGCACTAGACTGATTTTGGACTGGCAACGTACTATAAAGTAGGTCTTATGTGTTTTGAGCACACACACAAACAAGGCAGATGTGGGAGGTGATGGATATGTTAATGACCTTGATTGTGGTGATTGATTTACAGTGTATCTCCAGTGTATATCAAAACATCAACTTGCACACTTTAAGTACATACAATTTTTATTTGTCAATTATACCTTAATGAAGTTGGGGGGAAAAGAATAAACTACATTTTTTTTTAAAGAAGCAACTGGGAAAGACTTCCAGAATTAGGTCATTTCCTGACCTTGGGGACCATTTAGCTCATTTATTGAATGCCATCTGTGTACTAAGCACTTTTCTTGGATTTTTACTTATATGTTGGCAGAGGAAACATTCAGAGCAATCAGTGCCACCCAGAACGAAGGGGACTGTACTGAAGGTGGACTGTAAACAAGCTGGGAGAGCAGGGAGGCGAGAATAGCCCAGCCTCTGGGGTCAGAGAAGGTTCACAGCAAAGGTGACACTTGAACTGAGTCTCTTTTTATTGAGATGTAATTGACATATAATGCCATGTTAGTTTTATGTATACAACATTGTACGACATAATGAGTTGATAAATGTATTGTTGTAAGATAATTACCACAATAAATTTTGGAAACATTCATCACCATGCAGTTATAATTTTTTTCTTGTGATGGGAACCTTTAAATGACTTTTAAAGATATACTACAGCATTATTAACTATAGTCACCGTGCTGTACATTACATCCCCCTGACTTATTTATTTTGTAACTAGAAGTTTATACCTTTTGTCTCTCCCTTTATCCATTTCACCCAACCTCTGCCTCTGGCAGCCACCAACCTGTTCTATGTATTTATGCATTCAGGGTTTTTTAAGTTTTTATTTTTTTAGTTTCCACATATAAGTGAGATCATATAATATTTGTCTTTCTTTTTTAAAAAAACTTAATTTTTTTTTAGAGAGAGAGGAAGGGAAGGAGAAAGAGAGGGAGAGAAACATCAACGTGTGGTTGCCTCTCCTGTGCTCCCCCACCAGGGACCCAGCCTGCAACCCAGGCATCTGCCCTGACTGGGGAATCAAACCAGCGATCCTTTGGTTCGAAGGCTGGCATGCAATCCACTGAGCCACACCAGCGAGGGTTGTTTTTCATTGAATGAATTATTTCACTTAGCATAATGCCTTTAAGGTCCATCCATATTGTTACAAATGTCAAGATTTCCTTTTCCATAGCTGAATAACATCCCATTTCATATATACATATATGGCACATTTTCCTTATCTGTTCTTCAGTGCGCAGTTAGGTGGTTTCCATATCTTGGCTACTGTAAATAATGCTGCAGTGAACACAAGGGTGCTAGTGGCTTTTGGATTTAGTGATTTCTGTTTCCTTCGGATAAAAATCCAAGTGGCATTGTTGGATCATTTGGTAATTCTATTTTTCTTTCTTTTTTTTCTTTTTTGAGTAACCTTCATACTGTTTTCCATAGTGGCCGTATCAATTTACATTCCCACCAGCAATGCACAAGAGTTCTCTTTTTGCCACATCCTCGCCAACACTTCTCTTCTTTTTGATGATAACCATTCTGACAGGTGTGAGGTGATATCTCATTGTGGTTTTGATTTGCATTTCCCCGATGATTAGTGATGTTTAGCATCTTTTCATGTACCTGCTGTTCATCTCTATGTCTTCTTTGGGAAAAATATCTCCTCAGGTCCTTGACCTGGGTCTTACAGGTTGAGTGAGAGTTCAGTATGCAGGCAGGGTAAGGAAAGGCATTCTAGACAGAAGGAGCTATTGGTGTGCACAGGTCCAGGGTCGGAACAGACAGCATGTGTCAGTGAGCTCCCAGCACTTTGCAAAGGCTGTGCCACATGCTCAGTTGGCAGAGAGGGAGAAGATGGGGCAGGCTAGGGAGGCGAGGCCAGATCATGAAGTTTGGGATTGCCTGACCCCTCTCTCCAGCAGCAGTGGTGGTAGTGGGCAGGGAGTAGAGAAGAGCTGGGGGAGGAGCTCCCAGGAAGACTAGTGAAATACAGGACGGCCCCTCAAAGCCTGCCCCACTGTCATACGCTTCCATCTTTTGACCGCTGTCAGCTGGTGGTGAGAGCATTGTGTTCCACCCAAGGGCCTGCTTCACTCATTTTCACTATCTGCCTGAAACAGTCTTGACTGTGAACCTGATTGCCATTACTAGTAATTAAAAAAAAAGAGCCCCCCTGTCTTTGGTTAGAGAGAGGTTCTTATAGGTCTCTGATAAATTGGGTTGAGTCCAGTGTGTCTGTCTGGTCTCATTTCCTTGGGGTTTACCAAGAACCAAAACAATCTTGGGGTGGGGGAAAAAAGAGGCAGATTTCATTTGCCTGACCTTAGACTCCCGATTCTCTGCGAGGTTGGCTCAGCAGACAAGCAGGAAAACATACAATGTCTTTGAGGAGCAGATGGATTGAAATGTTAAAAATCTGTTAAATGATTTCAGCTAACAAAATAATTAGGAAAAAAAGCACCCAGACTACGTTCCCTTTTCAGTGATATTTAAACAAGAATATCATTACTGATCACTCAAATGCTAACTTGGAATTTTTATACCATTAAAATTGATAAGAATCAAATGGAAATGAGAGAGAAAGAATGTCTTTTGTAGAAATGGGTTTTCTTTGTGGTTTTATCTTTGTGGTGGATGCAAATACTTTATTATTTGTGTTGTTACGTAGTATAGTATGCAATCAGCAGTTTTTCCCATCACAAAGTAAATAATTGTTGAATTGTGACACATTTCCTAATGAGTAGCCTTTTCCACCATAGTCTTTTAAGGCTCCTCTAAGAAGATTCTTTAAAACCATGAGGTTGCTAGAGGGATACAGACGTGAGGTTAATTGCAGAAGGTAAATGGGTTCATTCTCCATTTACTGTGAGGCACCTGTATTACAGAGTGTGGGTGGATGCATTGGAAATACACATGCAGCAGACACTGTGTTTGGTTTAGACACTCAAAGATGAATAAGGTCACAACTCACAATATAGGATGTGTGAGACAATTTTACTGCAACTCCTTGATGAACTAAATGCAAGTTCCATAGTAGAGGTATATCCAACTGGGGGCTCTGTCTGGGGGACTGGCAGTGTTTTCACAAGGAAAAGGTCTTAAAGTAGAAATTACAGTCGACCAGAGAGAAAGGAGGGTGGATGGAGGTAGGAGAGAATATTCAAAACCAAAGCAACAGAGATAGAGATCTCCTGGAATTTCAAGCAGCTTGTTTGTTTGCAGTTTTCTGACTTCTGTTATATCAATGTTGTAATTTCTAATACATTCTGAAAAATTTTCCTTTTAGGAAGGAATGGGCTGTCGCATATCAGCAGAGAGTAGATATTAATCTTGTCAGTAAGCGAGTAGTGATCAGGGATACCTATAAGCCCCAACACTAATTCACTTAAGTATGTATTAATCACTTGCTCTCCTGGACTGGGCACTCACACATAAGTCTTTGTTGTCAGAAGTGAAGCACGTGGCCTGGGTAACACAGCATCCCCCTCCCCCCCATTGTGTTTAGATGTGTCTGTGTAATGAATCAGTACCCGTTCTTCTCACTCCGAATGTACTGAACTTTACATGAAGTATGCCTTTTCATGCCTGGGCTTCTTTCAGTAAGGCTCTTTATTTGCAGTTGTGTGAAAAAGAAACATAGGCGTTACGAGAACTTTCATGCCAAATGATAAATATAGCCTTTCAAGGACCATGTAAAAGATAGGTGAATATATTTAATAAAATTTTTAAGCTTTATAAGGTATCCTTCATTCCCCTTTAGACCTCAGCTGGATCTCCAAAGTACAAGTGAATCAACCAGCAGTTCTGAGGCGGGCAGAGCAAATCCAGGCGCGCAGAACCGTGAAAAAAGAGTGGCAAGTAAGGGTTCTTCTCGAACACGCTGTTCCTGTGGTTTACAATGCCTGGGCTCTTCCCTCAAGGCCACAGTATTGAATTTCACTCAAGATGCATCTAAACTTAAAAGATTGCAGCTGTCCATGACTTATTTTAATAATTCATGTAAGATGATGATGGGTGGGAGAAAGATAACACATTTATCCCAACAAGTTAAAAATGTTATCACTCTTGAGTGGCAAAGCCGCAAATGATTTTGAGGCATCTTTATTCATGAGTGCATTAAATGGCATATTTTCTCAACACATTTATTCAGTTTCTTAGACATACCTCCTTCGGATGCCTTCTATTTTAATTTTCCAACCATAATGTCTAAACCTGATGTGCCCACTGTTGAGGCCCTTAGGTGACCTCCTTTGACCATCGTGTTTTCCTGACTATTAATTTTCATAAATAATTTTCAAAATTCAGAAAATGATGTTTTGTGGAGTCCTTGCGGCAAGCACATTCTCCCATGGATACCAACCAAAGACGTGCTGTGCATCACAGGGCTGAAAGGAACTGAGAGTTCATTTTACAAGGGAGGCAAAATGTGATCAAATCCTTTCGGGTGACATCTCACATGTTGTCATCCTTGGAAATATTCTGATTGAAAAGTGAAAAGGAAATTCATCAGAATGAGCTGTGAAATATGAGTATTATTTTAAAAATGGAGTTGGATTACATGGAAACAAACCAAGTTTAAGTTTGGGAGCTTTTTTATAATGCCTCACCTGAGATCCCAGGGCTGGAGGTAGAATGTAAGACAGAAATGCTCTGGTTCCTACCTTGTCCCATCTTGGGGTAGCCAGGAAGGGCTCCCTTGAATGAGATAGAGAAGTCAGGTGTGGGAAAACTTGATTTATTAGGGATGTAAATTTGGACTATGGGAGAGAAAAAAATTAAGGCTCCTCTTCCACCCTCCTATTTTATTCTACATCATGTTCGTGGTGTTGGTTACTGTTGAGCAGTTTGTATCGTAACAGAATGATCAGCCTTGCAGTAGCAGAGATGTCAGATTTTAACATGCATGTCTGTGTATAGTGATTCTCTGCTAACTGGGTTGCAGATTCATTTTAACCTTATTTTTATTTGTTTTCAAACCAGGCTGCTTGGCTTCTGAAAGCTGTTACCTTTATAGATCTTACTACACTTTCAGGCGATGACACCTATTCCAACGTTAAAAGGCTCTGTTATAAAGCCAAGTACCCAATCCGGGAAGATCTCTTAAAAGCTTTAAATATGCACGATAAAGGTATGTTATTGTGAATAATCTGCGGTGTTTACCTTTTTACAATACTGATGACTCAATCTAAGAGGATTTAAGATTCAGCTGCTAAAATGATACCAGCAATAAAATCCACAATAGAATTATGTACATAGACAAATAATTGAGATTTGTCTCTGAAAACAGTAGGGAAAGAATCTGAGTCTTATGTTTAGGTCATTTCTTACCATCATAGATTAAGGTTTCTGGCAGAGAGTTTCTTGGTTTTTCTTTCTGCTTCTTAGGTTTTAGAAATTTTCCATCTAGTGAATCTAAAATACTGATTCTCATCCCCTAGGCACATGTGGAAAAGCCAGTCTCATTACTTAATAATCACATCTCATACATAAAGTATTTTCTGTGAGTAAATGGAATACTTTTGAGAATAAAATGCAAATGGGAAATATTGCATGCTTGTACATGAGGTTAAATCTTTTGAAAAAGTTACATTCACTCTTATAGTATACATGAAAGAACTTACAGCAACTTTCTAGAGTTGCTATAAGTATAGAACCTTAATATTTTAGAAAGGGAGGAGACCTTCGAGAGTTGATCACCTTATTTCTAAATGAGGAAGCCGAGACCTGGAAGGTGAGATGCTATTTCCAAGGAGCCATGGCTCCTTGCCCTGTGACTTGCTGGGCTGGTCTTAGGAGCGAGGGCTTCCCATGAAGGGACCTGTCTGTAGTGAGTGCAACTGGAGGTGTTGCATTTGGCCAGTAATTCATAGATACATTGTAGACCTCAAAAACTCTATAGCTTTTGAAAAATATTTATGATGTTTCTTTTGAGTTGACAGTAAAAACAGCACCTATTAATAGCACTGAACGGTAATGACTTTGGGGGAGCAGGGCTAAAAAATGTAATAATAACTCCATAGGAGTCTTATGTTATTTTTTTTTTAGTGGCTATTTGGTCTTTTAATTTTAATTTTTTAAAAAGCTTACACCTTATATTGGGTGTGCCAGATTTATATTGTATGATTTCTTCCAAAAGAGGGTACCTAGGATTAGTTAAATGTTATTTTGCTATACTACCCTGTAAAGCTCACTTACGTTTTTTTAATTCACTGTCTTACTGCTGTACAACTCTGGATTTTGTTAATTACATGAAGTAAGATATTTTGATTAAGGCAAGACCACCAAGTTTATTATTTAAGAATTTTAAAAAAGTGATGTTATGTTAACTTCAAAGAACAATGCATCCTAATTGTTCTATTATGACCATTAATGATGAGAAATTGATCCATGTTGTAAGGAACTGGAATGGAGTATAGAAAATAAAATCCCTTTCAGTTTTTTGTGACATTGTAGGGGAATTACTGTTTTCCCTACTTTGATTTCTGCCAGTGTTATGTTATAAATAATAATTAAAAGCACATTGTGCCACTTGAACTTCTCATACAGAAGGCTGCTGTGCTTGCTTTCTTCACAGGCATCACCACGGCGGCCGTCTGTGTCTACCCGGCGCGCGTGAGTGATGCGGTGAAAGCGCTGAAAGCTTCGGGCTGTGACATCCCTGTGGCATCAGGTAAGACTGGCGTGGCCTTTGTTGTTGTCTTTCAGCATGTTTCCAGCTCTTCTGCTCAGACGCCTGGGGGCATTATAGTTTTATACCGTTATTTTAATTAGTTTTATGTTTTTGATTGGTTGTGATTATTTATTCTTTTAGTATTTATTAATTACTTCCTAAGTAGCAATTAACGTTTATTGATTAAGTAATTACTAATTCCCTTAAAGGGAATTATATTAATTCCCAAGAATATAGAACTGTTTCCCTGTTCTTAAGAAAACAGTTGTTTTGGAAGAATAGTTAAGTTAAAAAATCATAATGCCAGATATGTAATATTTTATATATATGTAAAAATATGATAATAAGGACATGTGGAAGGTACAGTTGTAACTCTGAGTGGGGACTGATTTATTCTGCAGAGGTTGGTGACACTGAGAGTAAGGGAAGGCTTCATCAAGACTGTAATAACTGCTCTGGGTCTTAATGGGTAAGGAGGAGTTTACAGTATTGATAAGGAATGGCATTTTACATGGAGGAATGAGCATGGGTGCAGGTGCAGAAGCGTGTTCAGGGAACTGCAGATGGTTTACAATTGTTGGATCCTAAGGTGGGACAGAGCAGGGACTGTGGTGTGGGGGGCCTCCACCTGCATACCCGCCCCCCCCACGGATGAGAATAAGTCTACCAAGACATGATCTGCTTGGGAAGGAAAGGTGACCGATCTCTCAAAGGAGAAGGGCCAGGAGCCTGTTGCTCAATGGGGTTTTATTGGGTTTAATTTGCATAGGAGTACAGGGTGTGTAGGTATAGCTAATCAGTCATTGTCAAACAGTAATGATCAAACAATAGATAACATTCAGAGAACTCTGAGGGCTTATTTTGAGTTAGGGTCAGATAGCTAAAGGGCCATAAAACGTTGGGCGAAAAAACTCATTCTGTGCTTGGACCCTTATCATTTAAACTGAGGGTATTAGCAAAGCAGGTTTCATAGGATTTTATGAATTCTTTCTTAGGCCTGATCACTGACTTTTCCAGCACAGGGCCACACCCACTTCTGGCATTGTTTCAGGCTTAAGGCATTATTTCAGGCTTAAGTCAGGTAGGGGAAGTATGGCATCCAAGACATTAAGAGACTTACAGACAGAATGAGGACTCAAGCTATGTCAAAGCCAAGGAGTGAGGGTCCATCACCTCCTTTTTCTACAGCCCCCCAAGTCCTTCCCGAGGGCCCCTTTGCAACCGCGTCTGTCTTAGGTCATCCCTCCTTTGAGGAATCTTACACATCATTGGATAACTGGTCATCCTTTTGGGGCCAAGCAGGGTGAAGTAAAGGGGGGCAGAGGCAGCACCCCTACAAGGAAGATAAGCTTTGTCTTCTTAATGGCCTGTGGTCCCAAAGTCTTTTTACTCAGCCTTAGCCACGGGGGATTACAGCTTTTGAAACCAGGCAGGGCAGTTCCCAACACTGTGGGAGTTGAAGCTGGAGATCTATCGGGAGATCATGCCACAGTGTGGCATTTGGGGAAGGTACTAAAAGGCTTTAAGCAGAGGTGGGCCGATCAACTTTATGATGTACTGAGTTAGGGCATGGTAGTGGACAAATTTGAGAGGGTGAATTAGAATTAGGGAGACCTACCACTGTCCAAGTGGGAGATGATGAGAGCTACCGTAAAGCCTGCAAAATAAAGAAAAGAAGGCATATTCAAGTTATTGGCTCAATGGAGACACTGTAGGACTTGGCATAAAGGAAAGAAAATTCTTTTTAAAGCTTTAATGTGTGTGTGCACGTGTGTGTCTGTCTTTTAGCAGATGGATGGACGATAGAGGTAACAGTAGATTCTACTTTTAAAAGATGTTGGCCCTGAATGGTGTGGCTCAGTGGATTGAGAGCCGGCCTGTGAACCAAAGGGTCACCAGTTCGATTCCCAGTCAGGGCACATGCTTCGGTTGTGAGCCAGGACCCCAGATGGGGGCATGTGAGAGGCAACTGATCAATGTATCTCCTACACATTGATGTTTCTCTCCCATTCTTTCTCCCTCCCTCTCCCCACTCTAAGGCTAGGTGAATAAAATCTTTAGAAATAAAAAGATGTTGGAAGAATATCTTGGTGCTTTAAAAAAGGAGTCTATAATGATCATTAATTTATTTTATCAGAAACACATCAAAGAAATATAATATACAGTATTTATATATAACCTTTGTGAAGATTCCCAAAGTATTTGGCAGCTATACCTTTATTGATGTGAATTTTTCATCAGCCTCTGTCAATTCAGCTTTTCCTCTGTACAACAGAGAAACATGTTTCCCTCTAAGGTAGCAGACCCAAGGCATTTATTAACATCAAGGTAACACAACAAGTTGTCTTCAGACACCAGAATGGAATTAATGATGTGCTTGTAAAAATTGGTAGTATTTTTTCAAAAGTGTAGTTGTATCTTCACTTTCCTTTTATTATTTATATTTGGCCCTGCTCTTCCCAGCTCTTCCCAACTGGCCCTGTTCCAGTTTTCTGGACCAATCAGGTGTTTTTTCTTTATTCTCTTTCCTTTATTTCTATCTCTTTGACTGGTTGTTTTAAGTTAGGCAATGAGAGAAACCTGTATTACACTTCGGTTACAACAGCTAAAATTGTGAATGGTAAATCAAGAATACATTGATGGCCCACTGATCAAGAGTAGGATTCAGAATTAGTGCCCATCAAGGTATGGATACAGCTATTATTTTATGAGCATCAGTGTGATGATAACATTTTAAAATTTCTACTTACTCAGAGCAGCCTCATGAGCATGTCTGAAGCAACTTAATTCCAGGTCTTCTGGAGGATAGAATACTAATGTTTGTCCTAGTGCCGGTACTATGTGAGATTACCTTCTGTTTCTTTGCACTCAACTTTTCAGTGTATGTGTGAAATTCTTAAGTGTCATTAATGCTTTGGTCACTAAATGCTGTTTTTTTTTTTGTCTGAAATTCTTTTTTGAGATACTGACCAGATAAAATTCCTTCTTTTTGTAATTTCCTTCTTATTCTCTACTAGTGGCCACTGGCTTTCCATCTGGACAGACTCATTTAAAAACACGATTAGAAGAGATCAAATTGGCTGTGGAAGATGGAGCTATGGAAATCGACGTGGTAATTAACAGGACCCTGGTACTGACAGGCCAGTGGGAAGGTAGGTACATGTCTATGAAGGAGAGAGACACAGTTCTTTCTTGGCAGATGACGTGGTGGGGATCTGGAAGGAGACAGCATGTTTTAGAAATTATTGGTCCAGATCACAAATGTTTGGATCAGAGGGTGAATCTAGGAGAAATCATGGCTAAGATCACTCATCCTGGTGCCCCTTATAAAGCTTAGAAGTTGCCTACTTACATGAGCTTTTTAGATCTCCTTTTGAGTGCTTAGGTGAATAGTTATTTCCATGCAATAGATTATTAACTTTTATTCTATTCTGTATTGCTTTGTTACTCAATGCAATAATCACTCCAGGCAAGTCTTTTATGCAAAGTTTATTTTAATATGATGGAGGAAATTTGCCTTTTTTATGTTAATCTTTGTGGATTTTTAGAATGTGGAATTATTATAACTGAGCTAAGCCTGTTTGTACTCCAATTTTTGCACATAGCTTCTGTGAATACTATTTTATATTCACCTTTGAGATTCATGACTTATTATCAGACTGATTACAGTAAGACATTGCCCATTCCAGTAACACACTGTTGTTTTTTATAATTAGATAGTAGAGAAATAGGCTTTACCTCTGTCTTAAATATATTTTGTACACTAGAGATCACTGGTAGCTAAAATAAGTAAAAGTTCCTAGTTTTTAAAAAAGTCATTATAAAAAAGTAGTTTAACTAAAAATTCTTAATGCTCTTTGTAGATATGTGAATACCAAATAAAGACATATTTTATTCTAATTATGGAGGTTGTGCCTGATCATTGTTAAAAACAAAAATGCCAATCAATAATAAAGGAAAGCATATGTTCCATATGATCTCTTCCCCCAGAAATAACCCTGCAGTTTACAACTATCCAGACTTTTTTCTTCATCTATATAAACATGCAACTTCCACCCTTTTTACAAGTTTAAATAAAAAGTAATATCATATTTCATGTGTTTTTCCTTAGTCTACTCATTGGACTTGCCAGTATCTCATGACTATCTTTCTGTGACTTATCATCCCATCTCTCTTATTGTCTATAACTCCTAATTCAGTTGTTTACCCATTAAGAATTGCTCGTGGTTGTAGAGTGGCAAAGATTCAGTCAGTGGTTTAAACACTGAGGATTTATTGTCTTACATTAATTCTGGAGGTTACTTCAGGGGTGTTGTGCTGCAGCCTCACAAAATTCTTGGAGAACTGTGCTACTTTTATCTTCTACTTCCAAAGCCTGTGACTTGTACTCATGCTCAAGGGTATTCATTGTCTAAGACAGCTTCTGAATGAAGCTCCAGCCTTTACACTAATCTGCTAGACAACAGGAAAGAAGGGCTTGTCCTATCCCCAAATCTCACACACTTTTGCTTACGTCTCTTTGACCCTAACTCAGCTGCATGGCCATACGTGGCTGCAAGTGAGCTGGAAGATAGAGTCATTTTGCTTAGAATATTAACTACATTCCTGTACATTCTTAATAAGTGAGGGGTGAGCATTTCTGTGCCCAGATGGAAGGGAGTGAGGGAAGTACTGACGGAGGACAGTGGGCCATAATGAGTGAGAGTGGATGTGACAGTAAACTGTTTAACAGCAGAGGAGCGGCTGAAACAAAGCAAAAATATTTAAGTAAAAAGATATATGAAGTTAAAAAGCACAACAGTCTGGACCAGAGATTTCAGCCCCCGAGACTGTCGGCTGTGCCTAGGATGAAGCAATCCAGAATACAAGAGTTCTGAATATTTTGGAAAAAAATATTAGGCTGTTCTCATTGCTATACACTCCCCTCTATATTCATCAATATTTTTAGCCCTTGCCAGGTTTAAATTCTTGAGAGTTCACAAATATCTTTTTGTGCTTTCGATTTTTGTTCCCTTTCTTGTAGTCCGTGTGTGTTTTGGCCAATTGCAATAAGCCCTACAAGGCCTGTTTGAAGGAGATGTCCCTTGTTTCTATATATTAGTTTTGCTTGTCTGCTTTTAGTCACAGATTTCAGTTCAGATTTAAGGCTAGAGTAAGAGAAAACATGAGTAAGCATAGTATTTAAGGCAGATCTGGAAATACACTCTGTGTGATTCAGTTGGATGAAAAACTATATGCCCTAATTTGTATCTTTTATAAATAATCTTTTCTTTGTTTTTTTTGCTGTGGTATGTGGTATAAATGTAAAGTATTTGGATATTATAACTGCAGCTGCTACAGATAGTCTTATACCTGTCTTTTCTTGGACACATACACTCATTTCTTTTGGGTATTTTACCTAGGAATGGAATTGCTGGGTCACAGGGTAGCCGTTAACTTTTTGAGAACTGGTAGAGTTAGAAATGTTTTTTGTAGGTTATATATTGGTTAGGGCGCGCTATGCTGCAAATAAGCCTCATAATTTATGGTTTAAGTTATCAAGTCTCTTGTGGCTCAAACAAGTCTGCCAGAGGTCAGGTAAGTTTCCAGGGCAGCTGTATCTCCTGTGGTCACTCAGCGATCCAAGCTGCTTCAATCCTGTGGCCCTGCCATGTTGACGTGAGGCCTCTGCAGAAAGCAGAGAGCTCATACCTCTCTCTTAAGGCTTTGGTCAGGGAGTGGCACGTGTCACTTCTGCTCACAGGCACTTGGTCTCAACACATGTCCTTGCCTCACTTGGAGAAATCTGAAAGTACAGTCTTCTGGGTACCAAGAAGGAAAGGAGAAACAAATATTGGTGAGTTTATGTCTACCACACTTCACATACCTGGTACTGCCTCCGTTCTAGTGTCATATGGAAGTGAACGTTTGTCCAGGTGTTAAATTCTAGAAAGTTAATATTTTCTTTGGACTCTTGAAGTCATTTCTCCAGGGTCTTTTAGCTTCCATTTTACTTTGCCATTGTGATTCCTTGTGTTTTTCTCTTTAGAAGTTTTTAGGGTTTTCTCTATCTTCGTATTCAGACATTTCACAATGGTGTGCCTTGGTGTGAATATTTTACATTTTTACTTTTCATCATTATGCTTTTGCACTACTTGCTGGAAGATTTTGTCAACTTTACTTCAAATTATTTTATTGACTTAAAAATTATTTCTACTTTTATATTTGTAATTTGCATGAGGTTTTTCTTGTTTATTTTATTTTTATTACATTATGTTGTTTTATGGATGCAATGTCTGTTAATACATTTTTTTAAAGCTTAAAAACATTATAGATATAGAAGTATAGTTTATATTGTACCCTGTGCTTTTTTCTCCAGAGTACCAATAAGTAGGAAAATAAAATACAGTAGGAAATGGATTTTGATGTAATTGGCAATTCATTAATGAACTCAGAATGGTTGTTTTTAAGAACTGGTAATTTCCCAATAATGGGCATTCATGCAAAATATAATAACACAACTTTGTCCTACATCATACTTTTCTATTAACCCTTTTTTATGGTGCTAATAACCTCTTGACCCAAAACAAATTGAAAAGGAATGTTTAATACTAGAAATTTAATTCTAAATAAAAATAAGCATGACTTAGGGTTTTTTCCACTGCAGTATTGTGTCTTACTTTCGGTTCTCAATTTGATTACATATTGTATTTTTCAGTTTCATGTTTTAATATAAGCTGTTTATTAAAATATGAGTCTAAAATGGATTTTTTGGAATTTGCTGATGGAAATGTCTGTCGGGCTATTACACATTCAAATGGAGGTGCTTCTCCTCTGTGCACTGAGGTATGTAGGATGCTGGCTGAAGACAGAAAGAACCCCACCTTTCAAATCTGATATTCAGGGTACATCTCAACCATTTCTTGTGGTCACAAAGATCCACAGTTCGGGCTGTGAACTCAAGGAAGAGACTGGAGGAGGCTCATATTCCTCTTCAAGTCTTTGTGGTGATGATTTAAAATCTCTACTTTTCTCAGACTTTTAAGTCTTCCGCCCACCTTGAGGCTCCTTCATTCTTAGCAAACGACCTACCTGCTACTTCTCAGAGAAGATAGAAGACGTTAGACAGGAACTCCCTCAAGGTCCTCGAGTCAGATCTGCTTCTTCCTTTTCTTCCTGTTGAGTCCAGTGCCTCTGCTGTGCCATGGCTCCCATTTCCCTCCACGTTTTCAGAGGCCTCGCTCCATTTTTTGGCCATTTTCCCCTCCCTGTATCTTCAGCCTCTCTCTACATGCTCATTCCGATCAGTATCTAAACCTATGTTAGCTGTTATTCACTAAAAAACCCCCACATACCAACATTCCCCTTCATCCCCGTCTAAATTTCCCTTTCTGTTCTCCCACAATAGCTAAAATTTTTTGAGTTTACTTATTTCTTTTGAAGCCGTTCTAACCAAGATACCAATGAGCTCTCCTTTCACTATGCCTAGGTGATACTCTTTGTTGTTTGTTTATCTTTGCTGTTCTGCAGCGTGGGACAGAATGGGCATTCCCCCCTTTTGGAAACACCCTGTTGTCATGGTTTTGGCGATTGTAGGTCCTTGAACCGCCCCCCCCTCCCCCCCGCACCGCCCCAGGGATTCTGGTTCTGTCCAGTTTACAAGCTTCCCCACCTCCCCGAGTGTCGAGTGTCGGTGGTCCTCGGATCCTGTCCTGGCAAGCTCTGAAACTTCCCCTCCAGCTCTGCACATTCCCCCTTGGAAAGCTCACTTCTTCACTGAATTTGGCTACATTCCTTTTGCCGAAGACTGCCAACCCTCTGAAATGTCGGAACCCACGGCTCTCTGACTCCACGACTCATTTTCCATTTCTCTGCTAAACTATGTTGCTTTTCATCCATCATTTTCACGCAAGCAGACATTCAAAATCAGTGAATCTTTACCCAGTCAGAGAATCTAATAACCATTTCAGAAAAAAAATTTTTAAGTATGTACATTTGTCTGATTTAAACACATTCTATTAAGTGCAATTTGATTTCAGCACTGTTGTATCCATGATTGTACTATACTGGAACACCGCGATTCTCTCAGGGGCTGAAATCTCCGAGAGGACTTGCCCCATACCTAGTGCGCCAGACTGCTGTGCTTTCTGACTTCTGTGTCTTTTCTTGTAAA